TTAATTCCACACATACCATCTTATACTTTAAAGTCTCTCACTCTTCTTTTTTACATAAAAACAACAAGAGCAGCCTTGGCTAACTAGGTTGATGAGAATTTTAGTGACATGGCAAGTAAAGAAGCTCAGTTTAAAAACAAACCTTCACCCCCTCTACATATTTGTTTTCCTGCAAGAGATTTCCTAACTTCAAAATATCCGAATTATTGTTTTGAAAGGGTCAAGTATCATTATATCCTGCATTTCGTTTTCAAACAGCAGCCAGATTATTAACACCAACTGAATATAATCACATTAATTATATTTTCATACCTAATGTGTATGTTTGTTGCATTCCTCCTGATGGTAATTGTGTGCCAAACGAATAGAAACATATGTGACACTTTATCAGGAACAAAATTTCAAATTATATTACATTTGACTAAAGGAAAGAAAAATGAACAAATGTTACCCATTTTTCATTCTTAGCAACATCACCTAACAGTATCAGTTAATACAGGCTCAGCTGTCCACTTCTAACAAACAGGTAAGATTGTCAGGTGGATTATTAACTTTGATAACATTCTGAGTACAAAGTTATGGTTTGGTTTGTATCAAAACAAAAATTAATGTAGAAATCATAATATAAATACATTCAAACCACTTGGTATAAGGTTACTATGAGCAGCTACATGCTTTTGTTTCTTAGCTAACTTACATTATAAAAATTTGGTATCTAGAAATAAAATTGTACATTTTTGCTAAAACAGCTTATCACTTGTGGCTCAAAGCAAATGCACTTCTGATGCAGATAGTGCTATGCATTTAGACAAAATTTCCACAGGATCAAATGCATAGCCCCCAGAAAGACTGAAATACAAAAATATACTTTCATGTTTAGTAACAGCTTCTCCAAAATCTAACCTTTATAAATGAAATAATACTCAACCAAAAAAAAAAATGTTATGACAATATTGAAATTTGAATTTAATCAAAGTCAAAAAAATAGCATTTGGGGAAGTTTAAAATATTTTAAGGCATTTTCAGAGGTTTTTTTAATTGTTCTACAGCTACTAGTCTCTAAAATATTTTACTTTTTCTTAGTACTTAGAAAAATAAAAAGAGTACAAATATGCATTTGGATTGTTCAATATCCATACTTTGGAGCTAATGTCAGTCTTTTAATGTAAATTTTGTATGTATGTATGTATGTATGTATACATGTGATGTGATAATCTCTAATTCTATCAGAATTGTATTATTCATAAACACATGATCAGAAACTTTAAGAGCCAATACAGTGGTTGAATTTAGACTAATCACACACACACATATATATATTTATTTTAATATCAACGTTTTTTGATTAAATTTATATTTAGAAACATACATAGCTTATACTGTTAAATATGTATTGCGAAACTCCCA